GAGAGAGAGAGAGAGAAGTTTTCCAGTGTTAACAGCACATTTCACACCCTTGTTCTTCTTATTGGAGCACAAGTGGAGGAATCACAGTAATGGTGCTACCTACAGGAGCTTTAGCACTCTCAACCGTTCTTCATGCTCGGGATCCATTTTCGGTGGCGCATAACACCCGTGAAGGTCCTCTACCACATATTCCTGGATCAGGATGCGATGGTTTCAAATAAAGAAATGAAACACCAAATTGATTATTACACCATCAAAATTAACAGCAGAGCAGTATTCTTGCCTTGGTGAGCTCCCTCTTTGTGAGGATGTGATAATGCCTCTGCCAAATCCTTTGGATGGCCATGGTAGCTGCCAGGAAGCCGTAGGCGATGCCTAAGATAGCAAATACAATGACAAAGATGACCACCAATGCAAAGCAAGCCTCCATGGAAGCAGGGAAGCAATCCAGTATTCCCCAGCCATAGCAGCAGTTTCGACAACCAGTCATGCAGGGACCATTGCTGTTGAAGGATGAGCAGTGCAGTATAAGCCCAAAAAACCCAAGAAGCACAAAGAATGCCAAGACACCTGCAAGATCCAAAAGCATGTCATTCAAATTAACATGATGTATAAAAAAATAAACATTTGCGAAATAAGCATTAGTAACAGCATCTCAGGGATGCATCCTACTATCTGTCAATGGACACTCTACAAAATAGTTGAAATCAATTCAGCACACTTGGGCGGCAAACCATTTTTTAACAGAATGATCAGAAAGGTATAACTAGATACATCAAAGATCAAATACTTGAGAATACGTTATGCGGCTATCTGTCTACACTATAAATGAGAGACTTTGGCTACAACCTGACACTCCAAGTGTTCCAAAATGCAAAGTACCTTCCCATGATATCTCTAAATTTGCCCCTTGCAAGACGGAAGATCCATTTGTTGCAACTTAAAGCAGCCCCCACATGATCAGGGGCATGATACCAAGGTCAGATCAAAAGCTTTTAAATCTATCACACAATTTCAACTTTAAAGATCTAAGTGCAAACCCTTCATGAACAAGAACAATTTCATGCTGCCTAACATTCCAAAACATATCTTGCAGGAACTGCTAATTGCTAAGACCAAACCATGTTAAAATCACCTATGCAGTAATAGAAGGGTATTGGATGCTTCGACAGTATGCGGTCCCAACCATCGCTGAAGGAATTCCTGAAGCTCCCATTTTTGTCTAGGAAGTAGGAAAAACCACCGATGGTAGCAATGACCTGTAGATTGACAAGAGGATTAATCACAGGATTGTCACCCTAGAAAACTGATCAATAGATACCTAGACCAAGACTCACAAAGAGCAGTCATTTAGCTATCCATGACCGAGAGATGATTAAAGCACCAAAGTCCATACTCCTTGAATGCCACTATATCATGTTAGATGAACGATAAAGTTTTACATGCAATCCTCTAGGATTAAGGTGAAACATATCAACAAAAACCTAAATTTATTAACTATCAAAAACCCAAGAAACAACGATTACATAACTGTAATCTGTTCCCGTATTTATTGAAGAAAAATATAGCATAAGATATGGCATGCCAAAACTTCTATGAAGGACAAAAAGGACAAAATGGATCTGAAGCATACTATAAAAGAAGGTTTAGTCAAACTTTTCATCCATTTAAGGAAAGCAAAAATAGAAACGTGAATTCTTGAATCCAACAGGGATGACATATATGCAAAAAAAAATTTCCCTTACAGTTTGTACAGCAAGGAAGACAAGGAGAACATCTCTAGCTACGAAAATCCGGAACTTTATTTTGCGCCATGAATAGTCCTCCAGAAATTCCACTCGCAGATGGAACCGAGCCTTACATGTTGTGCAGTGTGAAAAGGCAAATCCTTCCTGTAAACAACAAATAAAAAAATCAACAATGTATCCTCTAAATTGAAAAAGAAAATAGTTTAATGTTTCTTTCTCTATATGGCAAGATTAGTTTGCGAATGAATAATATAGAGTGACTGCAAACTATAAGGAATTTGTATGATTCTCCAGGATGATAATGATAAAAATAAATCTCAAAAAAATAAAAAACTTAATTCGACTTCTAAGGCTTCAAAATCATGATACGACTGGACTATCTCAGTTCTTGAATGCAAATAAAACCAACTTCAAATAACCTTGTCCCTATGAACAGACAGTACTTGCATTCAGAACTCAAACTTCTCCAAGAATCTGCTATGCTGATCAAATATTTTTACCCATTGTCACTATGCTTTGAAAATTTTCAAAAACAAGATTGATTGTATAATTTTCAGTTGCTACATCTAAATATCAGAATTATTCCCATGAACATATTCCTTTAATAATTTACTGATACACTTTTCGTGTTTGCTTTCCATACGCCAAGTGAAACTTGGCAAGACTCACAATGTACCAGACCTTTGGTTCAGCTAATGGGCTGCCGCAATCTGTTTCGCTAAACTGAAACCCACAAAAACAGTTCAACCAAGTTTGTTTAAGCTATCTCAATACTTACAGTAGCTAATCTGGTGTGATGTCACATTTATTTGCCTGTTGTTTTTAAATAACAACCAAGTATAAAAATGATATGGCATGCCATTGACAATTTGCATTTGTAGATAAACAAAATTATTAAATGTGATAATAGCGAAAGGAATAAAGTTTGCCTTCACTGAACGCCAATGATCAAGACATGATCGGTGGACAAACTGCTGAGTGCCTTTGCACATGCATGGAGATATCAACTCATCACCTACAATAAAACAACAATAAAGGTAACCCTTTGCTGATGAATACAAATTGCCAATTTACAAAGGTCTGTCAACCAGCAGGGCAATCATTTAACAAGCAGACGAAACATGCTTATGGCAAAAATGGCACATGCTTATCACAAAAACAAATAACAGCCCAGAATATGCTACATGCACAAACTTTTAGGTTTGAGCTTATCTAGGTTCATTTATAAGTATAAAACATACTTATGTTATTAAAATGTGTACATAAACTTAATGAAGACTTAGGTTTGAGTCAACAGACAAAGCCTTAGGTTTGAATTTACAAGATAACGGACAGAATGTCAGCACATTAAGTTATATTTCTAACATACTATTCGTTGGTAGTTAGAGTGGCAATCTCCCAATTACAAATGTCCTTGATTATGTCTGTTTGACAATCTAATCATCATCATAATCTAACCAACTTCTGAAAGTACTACAACTTAGAATCTCATTTCGTCTTCAACTTTAGTTACAATCACAAGTCTAAGTCAGATAATACCTACAAAGGTAGAAACAAAACATAGCTGTTAGCCATTGTGTAAATTGTAAATTTACAGGAAATTGTAAATTTTGTCAAGGGAATCTCGCCTGATCCGTGGTTTTTTAGGACCCTTTTTCAGGACATATTTCCTCTTATTCTAAAGCTCAGAGTCGTGAACATTAGTCACATTCCTAGGGCCAGTTATTTTTCTTTTTTTCTAGGGCCAGTAATTTTGTTACCCATTCAGTGGCAAATTTTGATCAGTCCCAGGGTTCCCAATTTTTGTCCACTGTGGCTGATTGCCCTGCTGATTGCGATGTTACCCATTCATTAGCAACTATGTGTGGAAACACATAGTTGTTAGCCAAGCCCGTCATATATTTTCATCTAACTCACAATCACAAATCTAATTCAGATAAAACTTACACCAGGTAACAGCAACATGTAGTTGCTATCTAAGGCCAGCATACAACCTTCTCTCCATTGAGTCATAATCAAGAACATAAAATCAATCCCACTATCAATTGCATTTCTTAGAAGTTATTATAAACTAATGTAACATGATTAATATAATCCTACTGATAGTCATCTCAGCTGCAAACAGAGGCTATTTTTAGAACTTGACAGCAGTATCAAGGTCTCGGCCTGTTCGTGAGTCCATCATAAAATTCTCCATGCCAATTTTTCTGTAAAACTGAGCCCACAAATATGGGGCAGGTTAAAAAGTATAACTTGTGGATCCAAATGATCAGATAGGTCATTGGATAGAGTGTTTTTCACGATTAAATTATTAGGTTATAGGTACCATGAAGAAATTAAAAAGGCCCAACATTAACATGACATCCGAGCATGAATTTAACGTACAATAAACCATTTCTGCTCTCTCAGCATTTAATTTCTTATATCGCATCGAATGATAGCATGGAGAATCTTTAAGAATAACTCAGTTGTGCTATGTTACTCTTAGCTGAGCATGGGTTCCATTCTTGTTTGGAACTCCTATAGTCAAGTCACCACAGTAGTTATACTGTGATGAGTCATAAGAATGGTAACATTTTTCAACATGAAATTCCATGAAAAGGAAAAGAGATGAAAGGTATAATTCACTTGATGGCCTTAATTTACATTTGGAAAACCCTGAGGATTTTGTTTATCTCCATGGACTAACCATAATTAGTTTGAAAGCTTGTAGATGCATCTCTCGATAACAGAACAATATCACACTAAATGTAGCATGAATTTACAAGAAAGGAAAGATTGACGAGAAAGCTCCGCAAACAAAACGGCAAGAAAAGTTTAATCGATAAGATGAGATCACCTGGGAAGGTATCGCTCTCAAGGCAGATGCGGCAGCACGCAGATGAATTAGCATCCGCCTCGTCGTCCTTGATCTCGTCCAAACCATCCGGCGACGGAGAAGATTCGGTCTGTCTCCAGATAAGGGGATCGGAATCGTTCGGGTTCTTCTCTTCGTCCAGATCCATCTGCAACTCAGCCCTAAAAAAGAAATAGCAAGTATGATCATCAAATTGCACTAAAAATCACCATAAATTCCGTAAAGCGAGGGTCTTCCGGGTCATCGCACCTCCGGGAGGAGCAACAAACCGACGAGCAACAGGTGCAGAACCTCAAGCGACCTTGGAATCGGCCGTAGTATGATAAGAAGAAATCACCGGGCGAGGTCGACGGGTTCCAAGTCGTCCTCAGGAAAAAGGTCATTCAACGCACGTGTCAGTCACGTGCCTTCGGATCGAGTTGCAGTCGCACCGTCCACGGGATGAGTTCGGCATGGCCGCGCGTCGTTAACGTGTCTCACGTATTCATCTCTAACGCCTCATTGATTACGTACGTATTTAAACCTCCAAATTTTTGTTTACCGTAAATATCTCGAATTATTTAACAGTTTGAAACTCAATTATCAATGGTTATCGTGATCACCTTTGAGAGTCCGAACTGAGGAGAGTTTAGGTTTTGATGTGGTGCTAAACCTTTAATTATTTTTTCCATGCAAAGTTTGATCTAAGTTCGGAGCTCTCCACTATATTGTTTTGTCAACCAATTTCATACTTGAGATGGATAGGGGAGGAGTGAAAAGAAAACATCTAACCTTAAAGGTATGTCTATATTCATCTTTTATAGTTATAAAAATATTTTATATAATAGAAAATATTTGTAAAATATTTTTTTATTTTGCTGTCGTAGTGTATTTGTTAGTTGACTCTACCATTTTTGACCATTTTTTATAATGTGGAAGCATGAAGCTTCAAAAATAAATATCACATTATAAAAAACATCGGAGGAATCTCGTTGGATATATCGTTATTGTAATTATTTTTTTGTAAAATATGTTGTCGAACTCACTTATCTCCAAACAAACATTAAGTTTATGATAAACTCATACTCAGTGTTAACTCTAAATTCTCTGTGTTCGTAAATGATGAAGGCTATCAACATGATCGATTTGGTGTTGAGCTCAAATTGTCATGTGATGATCGAGAGAGACTCCTTATATTATTGTTACGATATTTAAGTGAATATGTAGAGATGAATATTAGAGAAGTAGAAAGAATATTAAAAAAATATTTTAAAAATCATATTTGAATTCTATCTTCATAGTCGTTGCTCCTTCATTCACGAATAAAAAAATATTTCATATAATATAAAAATATTTGTAAAATATTTTTTTTTTTATTTTGCTGTTGTAGTGTATTTGTTAGTTGACTATACCAATTTTTTATAATGTGGCAGCGACCTCTGAAGCTCCAAAAGTAAATATCACATTATAAAAAGTCTCAAGTATGTTCTAAGGGGACAGTATATCAAATCATATAAACCTCATATTGATTTAAACATTAGAGGAATCTCATTTGGATATGTCGTTATTATAATTATTATTATTATTTTACATAATATGTTATCGAAACATTAAGTTTATGATAAACTCATACTCGAGTCAACTCTAAACTCTCTCCATTTATTGGATAATTAAATTTATTTTTAAAAGTATCCTAAGTGATGAGGGCTCTAACATGATCGATTTGATGTTGAACTTAAATTATCATTCTGATATAATAATCGATGTTGAGAGTAACTATCTTTACGATACTTAAGTCAATACGTAGAGATAAATATTGAAGGAGTAGAAAGAATATTTAAAGAAATATTTTATAAATCATATTCGAATTCTCTCTTTATAGTTGTTGATCCTTCGTTTACAAATAAAAAAAATATTTCATATAATATAAAATATTTAAAAAATATTTATTATTTTAATTTTGCTAACGTGATGACATGTCTATTGATGATTTTTTGTCATTTTTTATGACATGACAACCACTTAATGAGATCCAAACAAAGACAAATATTCTCATATTAATTTAAAATTTTATCCTTCTACCAAATTATTAAGAGAATCTTAGATTTTTTATATATTTATTCATATTAAATATAAATAAAGTAAAATAATATAGTTAAAAGTATTTTTTATTTTAAAGTATAATTAAAAGTAGTTAATTTGGATTCTTTTCGAAGATTTTAATAATTATAAGGTATATTTTATACCAGAAATTTAGATGACACGTATGTTATCTTTAAATCTTTTTAGGATATATATGCACCAATGTGAAAATTTCGCGGAGAGCGCGATCAACGCATGTCACTGAGCTCGGATATTTGTATATCACGGCGATGAGCGATGATCAAGAGATCCAACGGCTGGGAGAGTCGCGTTCAAATGAAGCTGAGGAGCGTGCGGGAACAGAGTGCGAGAAAAGAGAGAGAGAGAGATAGACTGTACATTTTAGGGTTCCCTTTCGATCGCCATATATACGCCCCGCTCTCTCCCTTCTCTTCCGCCTGCGATCGCTCCTCTCCTCTCTCCCCCTTGCGGAAGTGATCGGATGGTATGGTATCTGATCTGCTTCATCTTCCCATTGCGGAAGCGATTCAGGGTTTTTTTTTTTCCTTTTATATGATCGCATCCGATATTGTCTGCAGGCGTTGCCGAATCAGCAAACCGTCGATTACCCGAGCTTCAAGCTCGTTCTCGTCGGCGATGGAGGGACTGGTAAGATCCATATCTATATCATTTTTTTAGTCTTGGGACGATGGTCGTGTTGATTCGATCGGGATCTTTCTTAGTGGAGATCTTGTTTGATCGTTCTCGCACACGAATTCCTGATGTTTTTGGGGTTTCCGATAGATTGCTACTGCGATCAAAATCTTCTGGGGGATCCAGAATTCTGTACTACATTTGATGATTGCTACTGAATCTTACTTTTCTCCATTGGTGTCTTCTGTGTCGATCTCATTTCTGGTTCATGCTGTCACTTCACCCGACAGTTTGCTTATTGGTGGTTCTGTCATCCCATGTATCGTGTTTCGGCCTTCATCGATAGCAATCGTGGTTGGTATTGTTGTCCAGGAAAATACACTGGCCTTGGTAGCTCCGTTCCTCAATATGAGTCCGTTTCTTGATCAGAACCTTCATTTTCCCTAAACTACTGAGACCTTTTTTATTTATTTATTTTTGTTGCGGTCCAACGGGGCTCTTAAATTTTGCATCTTTCTTATTCTTTTGAGAAAAGAAAAGAAAAGCAAGAATATAGTTCTTTCATGCATTCATAGCCACTTACTCATCTGCTTTTGTACTTATGGTATAGGAAAAACTACGTTTGTGAAGAGGCACCTTACTGGTGAATTCGAGAAGAAGTATGAGCGTAAGTGTCAATGTCAAGTTTCATACATGTGTTTTACTTTCCATTTGCTCAATATGTATTGAAATATCATGGATTTTATTTTTCAGCTACTATTGGTGTTGAGGTCCATCCTTTGGATTTCTTCACAAACTGTGGGAAGATCCGGTTCTATTGCTGGGATACGGCTGGTCAAGAGAAATTTGGTGGTCTTCGGGATGGATACTAGTACCTTTTTGTCCTTTCTTTCTATTTTGATCACAGTGTTTTAGGCATGGATTTATTGTTTGACTTGCTGTAATACAGCTGTTAATTGGTGTTTTGACTTTTTAGAGTATGGACAAAACACTGGGGTCTCATTGTTTATTTTCTCTAAGCTTACATGGGATGCTGGATTACAACATAAGATGTTAAATTCAGTAATTGTTATGGACTCTTGCATTAGGCATTATGTGTATATTGTCATATCATGTATGCAATTCAGGTTCATTAGGCAGTTAGAAATTGTTTTATAGAAGCTTAATTTATTACAAATGGCTCTGTTACTTATCTAGTGCTCGGCTTCTCTGGCATTAGACATAGCAAGTACATTGTTGTTGCATGTTCACAATTCAGGTTCATCAGCTGAACCCAACTTTTCTGGTTAGTTGTTGAATTTTTAAAATTATTCTGTTGTTGATGTAATGTATGCCTTATGATTATTTGAAAGTTCAGTTATTTGTATTAGATAGTTATAAAGCTTGTTTTGAGACACTTCATATTTCTTTTTGACAGTTGATAACTTCTTTCTTGACTACTCGGGAGATAGTGGAGTCAATGCATTGTTTTAGAATATTGAAGATAAGTGAAAATGTGCAACAAGACAATAGAGAATAAGTAGGTATATAAGTTGCTTTGACTGTGACTAGGTGCATAAAAGAGGTCAGGAATGAGAGGAATATCTTTTCGTGGCCAGAAGGCTAACTAAGGTTGCAACTATTTAAATGGTACTCTTGTAATTAAGCAATTTTACAAAAAGAAACTGACTTTTATTTTTGAGAATATATTTGTTCAATTGATTCCTCAAATGAAACAAAATTTTGTTTACATATCTGACAGAAGTCTTTAGGTTCTTTCTTCCTTTGATGCTCAGACCTCGAAATGTTTGTCATATTCATAGTGCCTATGCTGAACCTTTATATTCTTGTCTAAAGGCTGCACATGGTATTGTTTATTGTTTATTTATTTGCATGTTGTCAGATTAGTAGAAGCATTTTGATCACTTTACTGTTCTGATCGTCTCAATAATTGATCATTATTTTTACAATCATGGGTAGAACAGATGGGATGAATCATGTTCTAATACAGCCTACATTGTGACCAATCAGATGGTGCAGATTATTTATTGTGGAAATACATTAATGAGTTTGACTGGTGAATTATGGTTATGAGAAATTGTTGGATTAGGAAAGATGATGTCCTTGTTCAAATTATTTTCTCTGGTTCCTGTGTTGTAGCAACATTGCTAATTGAACCTTTTCAACTAAAGGTCTTATCTTCATTATTCTTTCTGGGGGATACACAAAGTTTTTCTTTGTGTAGCCACCAACATGATGGGTCACATTGGTGATCTATTACAGTTAATATTCATGCAAAGATATCTATTGTTATTAACTTGCTATCTTTTGTTCACAGTATACATGGTCAATGTGCGATTATCATGTTCGATGTCACTGCCAGGTTGACTTACAAAAATGTTCCAACATGGCACCGGGATCTTTGCAGGTTATTTGACAAGCTGCTTGTAACATTATTTGTACAAGTTGTCCTCCACGTGGACATAAAAAAAAGGTCTAATTATCCGTTTTGTATTGAAATCAGGGTTTGTGAGAATATTCCGATTGTCCTTTGTGGTAACAAGGTCGATGTGAAGAACAGGCAGGTCAAAGCTAAGCAAGTTACATTCCACAGGAAGAAGAACCTCCAATACTATGAGATTTCTGCAAAGAGCAATTACAACTTTGAGAAGCCTTTCCTTTACCTCGCTAGAAAACTTGCAGGGTAAGGAAAATAAGTGTCATTTTGGTGGTAGAATCATATAGGAATTATCTGAATGACATCAAATTGTTGACAATTTTCATGTCAGGGACCCAAATCTTCACTTTGTTGAATCACCGGCTCTTGCACCTCCTGAAGTCCAGATTGACCTGGCTGCACAGCAACAGTAAGTGATTTTAAGCTCTGTTCACTAATTTGAAACATGTATCATTTTCCACCATATGGTTTCAAAAGCTCTTTGTTCACAGTTTATGATGTCATAGCCCTTTCGATATTTATATTAGATGCTTCTCAGATTTTGTTACCTTCTGGGTATCATTCACTCTTTGTTTTTGAAAAGTTAATAAAAGCCTGGATATATTTTTGTTTTGAATATCTGGGATATATTTGATAGGTACTTGTCGAAATGACCATCCCAATTAATGTTGAACTTTTGATTGATAAAGAGATGCATTAGAGGGCTCTTTTAGACCTTTTACTGGTTATCATGAATTAAAATTTCATGTTCTAATTGCCTAAAAACTTTTAATTCTTTGTTTATTCTTGTATTTTATATATATAGTAAGAAGAACCTTATTGTTGTATTTGATGAACAAGCTGTCGTGTCCCCTTTTGTGCCCATTTATTGGTCTTGTTAGTTCTTTATATGACAATTAGTTGTTGGGAGCTATAGTGAGAAAAATGTCATCCTGATTTTTTTTTTAAAGCCAATTTGTCGTGTTTTATGTTCATTGCAAATTCAAAAATCTCACTGTATCCATGAGAGATTAATTTTCAATGTATAACAGTACATATAGTTGATCTAATTGTGCCTGCCTGCCTGCCTATCTTTGGTTTTTCAGGCATGAAGCTGAACTGGCTGCAGCTGCTGCCCAACCTCTTCCTGACGACGACGATGATGTATTTGATTAGAACTTTCTACTCAAGTCTATGTGCAGTGCAGCTAATGGAATCTGTCGATGGGTCTTTCGCTGGAATTGATGCTTTTATCTACTTAGCGGGTTAGTTGCATCATTTTTCTCTGTTGATGTTGATAAGAAAATATCGGGAGTTGTTCTGTAAGGCTGGATCTGCATTGGGTTTTTTTGGGGCGGTGGTGATGGTGTTGTTCTGTGTTGCTGCGAGCAACCTGTTTCCTTTGCTTTCGTTTGGAGTACGTGTGCCATCTGAATCAAGTTTCTTCAATAACCCCATGATGCTATTGCTTATCACTTCTCTTTCCCATGATGTCTAATAGGGATAAAATAGTTTTCTGACGATAAATCTGTTGGTGGTGGTTGTATTGAAAGCTGCCTGGTTTCTAAAACTATGAGCTTTAATGGTACAGAAAAACTTGATTTTTTTATTTTTATTTTTTAAAGAGTACTCTTCGTAGTTTCTTATATGAAGGAGATTTTGAATTTATATAATAATTCATAAGGTGTCTACATTTATAGCCTTATATATCGTCAATGATATTTGTCTCAAGTCAGACTTAGTTTTCTTAGTGACTTTGAATATAGGGTAAATTCTCTAGAAAAATCCCTAAACTTACTTTATTTTCTTTCTCCCTAAATATTTCGCCCCTATTTTCCTTTTTTCTTTTTTTTTGGGAAGAGTCCTTAATTTTTAAAATGATAAAAGTGACCCTCAAACATTCTTTTATATTTTCCTCCTCCCTCTCCCCCTTTTCAAATTCATTATATTGAATCAGTCCATTGTATTGAACCAACAAAACGACTTGAACTGGTCCAAATAAATAATATTGATATATTGTTTTAATAATAAAAAAAAGATTATCTAAAAATTATAAATATAATATTATACAACAATAAAATTATGACAACCTTTTAGTTTCATCTTAAATCTATCAAAAATATAAATTTTAACCTTTTAAGAGCTAATTTAATCAAACATTAAATATTGTAATTTCTAAAATAGAAAATTTTGCAAATTATGGCTTCACTAAACATTTTTAATGTTTCAAAGAAAATTTTGATTTTTTGGATAAAGATAGATAAAATTATACTTTTTTTTAATGGAGTTATACTTTTTTTTTGTTTAATAGAGCCCCATGTAATCCCATTCAAAAACAGTGTAACTCAAATCTTTAAAAAAAAATTTGATACTTTAAAATCTTAAAAAACATTCTATAAATATATTCAAGTGGCTTTTGGATCAAAATTGTGGTGAATTTACCTAAATAAAAAAGAACCTAATTTAATATTTATAAAGGGCTGAAATAAATAAAAAGCAAGGATTGAATCAATACACAGTGACAAAAAAAAAAAGAAAAAAATATTTAAGATGCCAACAATTTAAATATAATTATCAATCTGGTAAATTTTCATTGTACAGTGACTTTGTTGAAATTGTCATATATAACTATAAAAATAGTTTTAGGATAAAAGTACTTATAAATTCTAATAGTGCAATGTATTAAAAGCTATTTGGTTTAATTGAATCAAATAAAATATTTTCTCATTCAACAATAATAATTACTCCTCGTGGCCCTATGCATTGTGTGTACTCAATCCATAATTGCAGGCACCACGATGATGATGATTGTTTGACTTTATTTTTATTGGTCCTCATCCTCCCTTCATTTGGCAAATGGCAAATGACAAATAGTGAAGGAGCATGATGATTCCTTGATATTCTTCTCGTTAGCCATTGTAACTCTCCCACTCCATCTCTTTCCCCGATTTTTCTTCATCTTCTTCCTACCTCTTCCATGAGTTATAATAAATTTAATTCTATTTATATTTTAATATGTTTATCTTTTGTTATATGTAAATTTTAGTATTGTTAATAAGACTCGATAATAATTTTTTTTAAAGATTGAATGAATTAATTAAAATGATATAGAGAACACATAGGTTTGTCACTCCCAACGAGGATTCCTCATCCCCACCCTTGTCCCATCTAAATGGGGCAAGGATGATGGACGGGGATGAGATTGGGATGGGAATGGGGACGGGGAAGCATTCCCCACCCCCGTTGACATTCATAACCATTCAGTTTGATAATATTTGATTCTTCTTTTCATTATCAAAATATATGAAACATATGAAACTACAAGGATGAAATTAATAAATTAATAAAAATAAAATTAAATTGACATAATTATATAAAAATATATCAAAAAATTACCTATTTTTTATAGAAAGATTATCGTTTGGCCTTTCTATAAGTATAGCAAGTATTCGATGAGATGACTTTTTTATGTATAAACTAATAAAGATTAGACATGATAATCCAATAAGGATGAACACAAATGTGCATCTCATAAACAAGAAAATCCATCATTAATTGATCAAAAAAAGACTTAAATAGAATTATTAATTAAAAAAAGGCCATTTAAAATCCCAAAGATAAAAAAAGTGATCTGCTTTTTTATTTATTTGTAAGGGCCAGGAAAGTTTTAAAAGGTTTTAAGGTAGTGTTTGCTAACTGAGTTATAATTGTTTTTGAATAAGTCCCAAAAACAGTATAACTTAGTTAAGAAAATATGTAACTTTCTTAAAAACTTTCATAGATGCTGCTTTCATAATCCATCATTGAATGTGTGGATAAATGGGAGATGAATTCAACCTAATGTACCCAATAATTAAAAATTACAATCTATTAAGGGCCTTAAATATTGAAAGAAAAGGTCATTTAAAACTTCAAAATTAGAAAAAAAATGGTTAATGGATGCTTCTCAATTCATTTTAATGGGGGTAAGTATGGTTTGTAAAGTTTTTAAGCAGAGTGCCAACTGAGTTATATTGTTTTTGAATATGGCTTAAAAAATAGTGGAAAGTTTTTTTATTTTCTTAAAAAAAAAATAAATGCCTTCTTTGATAATATACAACTGAATTTGTGGTCAGATGGGAGATACATTCAAACCCAAAAAGGTGAAAATTAGAGAAAATAGAAAAAAAAATCAGCCCATTAAAAAAGATGATTTAAGTACAAAAAATTTATAAAAAAGTAATCATTGGGTGCTTATCAATTCATTTACAATGTATCCTTTATAGTTTTACAAAATTTTTTGAGCCATTAAGCTAAGTAGCATTATTTTTTAATAGGACCAAAAAAAAAAGATTACCCAGCTTAGTGAGACAACTATTTTTATCAAATTTTAAAATAAATTTTAAACAAAGTTTAGGGCCATTTTCATATATAGCTGTGGCATACTACATATTGGAGTAGCCCTAAAAGCAAGTAATAGCTTTAACTATTTAAGCATAAAATATATACTTAATAGAGTAGACAAATTCATTATTTCAACGTAACAATAATTTACAAAAGTATCAAAGTGTAACTTAGATTAACATTGTATCATAGAACAAGAAAGAACTTGATGTAACAACGAGTTCTACAATCTCAAGTGTGACTTAGATTAACATCGTATCATAGAACAAGAAAGAACTTGAGATCGTAGAACTCGTTGTTACATCGAGTGGGGAGTTATATGGAAAGAGAATATATTAGGGTTTTCAAAATTCAGATCATGATAATGGAACTGAGATGTAAGCGTTGAAACTAAGAGGTTGTTGGAAGTAAGATACTAAGGTGAACGAAAACGATTGATATTGAACTAAGGCTTTAAATGAAAACGCTCGACATGAATGAGAATAAGAGGTTGCATCGATTTCGATCAAGAAGGTGATGGATAAGTGCATAGGTTTTAACTAGAATCGATTTGATTCTTTGTTCCATTTAATTGAGTTTATCGTACAAAGATAATTAGAAAATATTCTAGAAAATAAAAATACTATTCAAGAATAAATGAAAAAAATGAGGAAAAAAAATAAAAAATACGGAGTTTTTTATTTATTTAAAGGTTTGCCCTAATATTATTATAATTATATTTACTGCTATTTCTACTTCAGGGATTGGGTCAAAACTTCGTTTCCTCGGTGCGGGGAGAGACCGAAATCCTCTCCCTCTTCGTCCTCCCTCCCCTCTCCCTTTCTCCCAAACACTATCGGCTTTCTTCGTGGTGATCGCCGCCGCTCGAGCAAACCCTCGGCGCACGTCTTCGCGACGTGCCCTCCCGTTCCCGGGAGCGGAAGGTCATCTCGATCCCTAACGATTTATGGTAGATCTATTGTTTTCTTCATCGACAGACCGATCGTTTGGGAATTTGCATCCCAGCTTTGACTGATGGTTTTAGTCTTTCTCGTCCTTAGGTCCTAGGGATCTCTCGATCCGTTTGGGATACATCTCTTTGATCGAGTCGGATACGGCGATGGAGGGGAACAAAGACGATGCTTTGAAGTGCCTCCGGATCGGTAAGGACGCATTGCAGTCCGGTGATCGGACTCGCGCCGTCAAATTCCTCTCCAAGGCTCGCCGTCTAGATCCCACTTTGCCGATCGACGGCCTCCTCTCCGCCGCTGCTGACTCTGATGGCAAATCCGGCGGTCCCGCTGATTCCGCTGCGTCGTCGAACGCTTCCCAACCTGACGAGCCATCGAGCGGTACTTCTTCCCGTGCTGCCGCTGCATCCGTCTCTTCTGCTTCCAAGGTTAGGATTTCCTCGGATGGTCCTGGGTCTTCGAGGGACTACACTGAGGAGCAGGTGACCGTCATCAGTCAGATTAAGAAGCTGAATAATTACTATCAGATCTTGGGGGTTGAAAAAGGATGCACTGTGGAGGAAGTTAGGAAGGCCTACCGGAAGCTCTCTTTGAAGGTGCATCCTGACAAGAACAAGGCGCCTGGTGCTGATGAAGCCTTTAAGGCTGTATCTAAGGCCTTCCAGTGCTTGAGCGACAATGAGAGCAGGAAAAGGTATGATCTTCTCGGTTCAGATGAGCCTGATCGTCCGGTGGCACAGCGTGGCAATCATGGTTTCAATGGCTTTTATGACGAGGACTTTGATGCTGATGAGATCTTCAGGAACTTCTTTTTTGGTGGAGGGCCTCCGGTTGCCACTCATTTTCGCACTTTCCGCTTTAGAACTGGTGGCACGGGTGGGGCGAGTGCTCATGAGATGCATGGTTCTGTCAATCATAATCTCCGGATGCTCATACAGATCTTGCCTATCATTATCCTGTTCTTGCTGAACTTCCTTCCATCTTCTGAACCAATATATATGCTGTTCCGATCCTATCCTTATGAGCACAAGCTAGAAACATCAAGGGGTGTGGCATACTTTGTTAAGTCAGTGAAATTTGAGGAGGAATATCCTTATGAGAGCCCAAAACGCATTGCTTTGGAGGAACATGTGGAGAGTGACTATGTTGGGATCCTTGAACAGAATTGCCGGGTTGAGTTGCAGAGACGACACTGGGGACTGTCATACCAAACACCACATTGCGATAGGCTTCAGAAGTTTGAGGCAGCAGCTTGATGCCATCAACTCAAGGTGGGTTTGCTATTACATGTTACCTTCTTCTTAGTTTTACAATGCAACTAGTTTTGCAACAGTAGAACATTTGAGCATGTTATATTTTCCACTCAAAATTAATATTCGAATTTTTTATGTGATATTTTTGCTTGTCTATGATGAATCTAGTTTTAGGTGGTCACATATATGTAACACAAAGTCCAGGTAGGACAAGAGCACAACAAAGATGATTTTCTGTTGTCAACTGATTGTTCATGCCTACTGTATCTATTCATGTTGGGCTTGTATCAGATGTCTGTTTGTCAGTAGAAACTTTTTCTTTTAGATGTCTTCTTATTTTGTTTCTTGGGTAGAAACTATAGAGAACTAGTGACCTTGCTTTTATGATTTTTTCAGATGTTACATTCCTAAATAATCTGGAAGATTGTTTACGATGATATAAATATGTTTAAGAACGACCTATAGATGCTTTGGATAGGTAGAGGGAGATCTAAGAATAGTTACTATGGTAGAAGAGATTCTGTTGCTCTTGGTTTAATAGGGATTCTGCTTTATAGAAGGTTTGATTGTAGAAAACAATTCATTTAGTTGACCCTTTATAATTGGAACTTTACATCTTGTTATTGTTGCTGTTGTTGTTCTTTAACCAAACTATTGGAAGAATTTAGGAGTCATAAACAGAAGGCAGAGAAAATTGGATGAATAGTTCAATGAAATATTTGGCTGAATAAGGAAAGAAATGAAAGAAAGAAAGGTCATAATTGAGAAAGGAAAGAAAATATCGTAATCAAGCAATATCATGGATTATTTGATTTATGACCTCATGCTGCAGAAGAGGCTAAAACGTGAAATGAATCCAACAAATAACCAAATAAATAGAGAAGAAAAAAAACCATCATGTCGTGGAAAGATCCCAAATCTGGGTAAGTAGCTTGAAGCACTTGCGTTACCATAGTCATTGAACATGACCTTCAGGTTTTTGTAAAATGAAGAGGAATAAACAAGATGCTACCTTTTTCCTCCATTTCCTTTTTTCTGGTAGTATGTCATTGTATGCGAGTCTGTATTGATTCATTATGCTTCTCTGTCAGCTGACTGGACATGGGTCCTTCATTTGGTTCACTCCTTTAGGGTCACACAATAATTCACCTACAATTTAGAAACCCATGTGATGCATGGGGTTTAAAATTAAAGTGTTAATGATTAATTTTAATAATAATCAGATAATATTGAATGATGATAACTGGTAGAACTGATTAAGCTGAAGCAACATTTTAAAGATGAATCTTTTATTTATTGTTTAGTCAATCATGGAATTTTCTTGGGATCAAACATGAACTACTTTGAGCTCAATGTATCATTCTTGCTTCTATGGGTTTAACCATGCAAACATTCTACTTAGTAACAAAATGACTGCCTCCTGGATTTGCATTCCCTAGATCAGATCAAAATTTGGATCTAAAATCCATGATTTTATCTTGTTCCAGTAACCAAATTCTATTTCTGTACAAAGTCCCAGCTTTACAACCTATATTTTCTTTTCTGTAAAGGGGAAGGAAAGGGGAAGAAAATGGATGATATCCTGGATGATTGCATTGCCTTGATTATCAAGAGGACACATGATGTTCTTAGTAAGAGATAGATTTGTGGATGATGGCTTATTGTTCATTCACGTCAGAAAAGTTCTAGGTGGAACTTTTATGAGATTATTAGCTCTATATCAGCCCTCATTTATTAAAATTGGTTGTTTTAGCTGGTGATGGTTGATAGAGACCAAAGGAAGCTCAATACTATGTTCATTGGTGTCGTCAAATCTCAATGAGCTTTGAGAAGGATGATAATAATCTAGATAAGTCTAAGATTGAGGATTTTTCATTTTCTTTAAGATAAATTCAGGATATTTTGGATTCTGTCAAGGTTATTTAAGGATTTCAAAAGTGCTGTTTCTTGTTTGGATCAATTTGGATGTATTTTGGCCATTTTGTAGATCTTTTAGTTGCTAGTTTCGTTTCTATGAGATATTGTTGACTTTGAGATACATTTGGTCTGTTTCTTATTGGTTTAACATGAGATGGTTATTTGGAGGATTCAAAAAGTGAGTCTTTTGTGAACACATTTGTGAAAGTGTAAGTGTTAAGAAGTGGTCATTACCACATTTGAGAATATGCTTCATGGTTCTCCTTCACATACAGGATGTGTGTTGATTGTTTAGTATCTATTCTAATGTCATTTCGGTGGTTCTGTTTCTTTATCCCCACTTTCTCTATGCTTTCTTTCTTTCTCTTTCTCATTGCCTAATTGCTTCAGCTATCCATCTTTACTTGTATGGTTCTTTAATGTGGCTGACACTCTTTTTCTCACCCGAAACACTAGAGCTCCATTGCCAACACAGATCAACCAAAGTCAACTGCCTGGCATGTTACGGCCTTCATAACCCAACTATTATTAAACTTGAACAAGCCATCTATCAAAATCAAATTGCTCTAAATATAGCCTTGTAAAAGACTGATTAAGTGCACAACCTCCATCTATCTCCCAACAATTATTAGACTTGAACGAGCCATCTACCAAAATCAAATTGCTCTAAATATAGCCTTGTAAAAGGCTGATTAAGTGCACAACTTCCATCTATCTCCCTGTAAGTCATCCATGCAAGCAACTTGAGAATTCCAATGCCAGCATTCGAAGCTAAACTTTGTGCTGATCATGTTCTGTGTGGTGAAGTCCAGTGCTCAGCAACAATTCTTTCGTGTATTATAAACTGCAACGCTGCTGCATCGAGTCCCAAAACTTTCAAATTAATGTCATATACTGACTTTTTGTTAACTGAGTCAACAATAACACACTGACTGTTGATTTGCATCAGCTATAGTCCCCTATTGTGCACAGAGCTGAATCGGGTGGGAAATTTACCTGCTGGTTTTTGAAGGCTTAGAATATATTTGCATCATTAAATCAGCTTGATGTTGTGTTTGATGATAGCCTCAAAGATTGAACCATTCTGTTTCAGGTTATGTTTTTGGAAATCATGCAATCATGGGCAGAATTTTTATTGCTAACACATAGGAATTTCTCTTTTGAATTTCTTTTAGTTTCTTGTGTCATATATCATATTGTAGATTTTTCCTTTGTTCAGAAGTTATTATGTTATATGAGTATCTGTGTGTGCACCAGAGGTGGGTATCTGCATATATCTGACCATCCTGAGATGCCACAATGGTCAGAGCCTTGTGTTAGGTGCCTTTTTATCTCAGTGCCATTATTGCGTGCTTGGATAACCCACATTGTTTCTTTGTCACGTAAAGCATAATTAAATTTATCATGCTATGTTGTCAACTTGTAATGCATTATTGATCTTTCTTTTAGGAAATTCTGTCAATATTCTTGGATGTTTTTTCCAAAATAATATGATTTACTTCTGAATATGTTCATGATCTGAAGAGTCTAAATTTCAGTGAGTTACAGGTCCTAATTGAGATCGACTATGCATCTAGTTTCGGCATATATTATTGATTGAGCTAGTACAACAAGATAGCTGAAATTATTTTCTTGTTGGCTCTTGGTCACAAAAGTTTTGAGCCCAATCATACACCAAAACCGAAAAGTACAACATCTGTCCTGATGAAACTTGAAGTTTTTTGCTAAATTTTTGAAATTTTACTTTAGAGTTACCAAAATCAATGGACTTTTTGTTAGACATTCACATCCTAACCCATGTCGTTTTCTTTTTTTGGTCCAATAATTTTTTTGATCACATTGAGTTAATTCCATTATAATATCCTGATTAGTCCCATATCAGAAGTGATGAAAGATTTAGATTTACTTATAAAGGTATGATGAGTGTTCTATTGCTAACTTAGACTTAAGCATGTTGGATTAGTAGTTCAGACTCGACGAAGTTAATAGTGGAACTAAAAGTTTTTAGCTAAATTTTTTGACATTTTACTTTGGAGCTACCAAAATCAATTGACTTTCTGTTAGACATTCACATCGTAAACCGTCGTTTTCTTTTTTTGATCCAATAGTTTTTTTATCATATTGAGTTATTTCCATTATAACATCCCAATTCGTCCCACATTAGAAGTGAACAAAGACTTAGATGTACTTATAAAGGTATGATGAGTGTTCCATTGCTAATTTAGACTTAAGCATCTTGAATTAGTGGTTTAGACTCAACAAAGTTAATAGGTCAATCATCCCATCAAACAGATAATCACAATAGGTATCCCGACCTAGTATTGAGATATCGTGAGATGCTCGAGTATGAAAGGGCTACTCATGGACGGGGCGGAGGGCATTATGGCATGAAGCTATCATTGGGCTAAGCTTCCCATGCCATGCTAGGGTCAGATTCTAATTTATGTTGGGATTTGATGAGGATATCAAGCCCTCAAGTGGGGAAGATTATAACACACCAATTAGTTTCACATTGAAAGTGAGCAAAAAATTTGATTTGCTTAGAAGGTTAACTAGTGATTGGGCCTAACCAGTGATTAGGCTCAATGAATTTAATAGTTTAGATATCCCATCTATGTGCCAGCCCATTCTTGAGGTCAGTGAAACCGATGGGGAGGCTTTCAACTGATATCTCATGTTCATATCTTAAATCTAATACCAACTTTTCTTCAATTTTGGTTGCTTATGTGTATATTCATTCCAGTGGATAAACACTTCTCTCCATTTCATTCTTTTAATTTTTTCTACTTTGGTGAACACACCTGATGCATTTCCATTTTGATTAATAACTGGTTTTGTAAGGCTCGCTTCTTGTGTAGGTTAGTTTATTATTTGTTTTGGTTTTCTGTTGCTAAAACATTTTGTATATTGATCCTGTTCTGTCCTTTGTAGATTTTGAGAAGTTTCTGTATGTTAAGGCTTTCGTTTCAACTTGTCCTATGGTCTGTTGCTTTCTCTTATCCTTGTTAACATGTTGTTTTAATATAGTGGTCATAGTGGAAATTATGGTTGAGTAATCTCAAAATTCATGCCCTTTCAAAAGATTAGTTACTTTTGTTTCATGTGTTCCGACCTTAGCCTACTTGCCTATTTACAACCATCAAAATTATCTATTTGGTGATTGAAACTTTAATGCCAATTAATTTACTTAGAGGAATATTATAAATAGATGCTTGCTCCTAAGAATGAAAGATTTAATTAAATTGGTTCTCCCATTTTGCAATTTCATGAGCACTCCAATGCACATGAACTTGTGGAACCACACATTGTCAGTGAGTGAAATTTAGCACCATGCTGCCCTTATTGTGGGGTTTACGCAATGTTGTCGGAACCAGGATCTGACCTTAAGAACTTGAACTAAATCATTAATGCAAGTTTAGAATCAAACTAAAGTGATACAACTGCACTGAGGATTTTTTTCTATAATCTTGGGTTAATTTGACTCAATCACACATATATAATTAGCCTTTTGTTGGATCATTCAGATCTTACTCGAGCCCTAATTTACTGCACCCACCAAAATTCTCTTAGCCACATTAATATGTCAAAGTTTCTGTTTTTTCTTTCTGAGCATCTCAGTTACTTGAGTAAATAGCCTTAACCAATGATCTTTCTCGCACAAAATCACGTTGCTCTCAATAATTCTTATTTTATATTTTAATATTTGTATAGTTGCTCTTTCCCAGACTTTGCAGTGTGATTTTGATCGAATCCTTATCTTTATGCAACTCGGTATCTCTTTTATTTCTACTATCTGTCAGTTTGCCGAGAATTTAGTTAACAAGTTAATCAGTCAAATTTACACTTTTCAGTGTAATTTTGATAGTTCAATAAGGATCCATCAGGTGGCTGTCTTGCATAAAATAGCATTCTTTATAGGGTATTTCAACCCTTTTGCTCCTTATTTCCTAATTTAAAAATTAAATAAGCTGCATTATTTTTGTAAAATAACTTTTTGAAGTTGTTTTTCTTCCATTTTTCTTCATTAAAGCAAGTTTATACTCTCTCGGCTAGAATTTTATCTCGCTAACAGCTTTAGCTTCTTTGTAGCCAGTTAATATTTAGATATCTACATTGTTCTTAAAAAAAATATCTACATTGTTCTGATACTTAAAAGTAGCTTACAACATCTTCCTTTCTTGTAGTAACGTCTTTGTGTCTCTTTCGTTGTTTTGATTCTCACACATAAATCATACTTTGTTGGACAGCTTGATCAAGGTTCGTCGTACCGTACCGTACCGTACCGGCGTTTTGACCCGGGCTCGGTACCGGTACGGTACGGTACATCGCTCGGTACACCCAGGTGTACTGAGCGGTACACCCAGCTGTACCGAGTGCTACAGTGCTACAGTGCTCTGCTACAGTGCTCGGTACGGGCGGACCGGTACAGGGCGGTCCGCGTACCGCTAGCCTGTCGGACTGGTATGTACCGCCCGTACCAGGCGGTACAGTCCGGTACGGCAAACCTTGAGCTTGATTAACTTTTGCAATCTTTTACGTGTTTACTGTAGGTTCTTTATCTGTTCAATTGTCATACTTCATATCTTCAAACTCATACTTATTTGTTAAACAACCATGTATGTTGCATATTTTGAGGACCAACACTTAAGCCGTATGGTACTGACAATATGGAGAAAATGATGTTTTTAGAGAATTGCACATTGTGATTTCTCAAGACTTCTTTTCCTGCATAAAACTATTAACATGCAGTGCCAGTGTTTTATTATGTTGTCTGATTTGCTTCTATTAATTTCCTTCACCTGTGTTTCTTTGTGTCTTAATTTTAGTATCTTTCGGATTCTCTCTTGAATTGGACAAAATCAATAAACCTTGAGCAAGCAGCTGATTCTCCTTCTCTTGAAAATTGATCTTTATGCAGAGGTTTCAGACTGATATGCAAGTATGCTTTTCATGGATGGCATAAGTCGAATTTTAGTATTCTCTATCGTTTTTTATTGCCAATGTGCTGCTACTAGTTCTGGTTGCATCAAGGACGAGCTCCATCATGGTGCTTATGGCATAAATTATTACATTACAAAGACCCAAACTGGTTTAATATCGTCTTAGAGAATTAGTTGGAGATGTTATTAGGCTCCAAAAAATTTTGTTATCTGCTTTATATCGTTGTTAACCCATGTGTTTCGTTTGAGCAGTAATTGTTAGTAATTGTTGTTTCTGATAACTGTTGCATGTATTATCTTGTGACGACCATCTATAACATGGCTGGTTCTTCCCTTCCAGATGGATGTGGCCAAGACATTGTGTTGGTCCTTCAAGGCTTTGGCTTTTCCATAGGATGCGGATGGATCCTTAAATATTGTGTTTTTTGAGTCTGCAGTATAAATTAGATATATATTACCAGTCCCAAATATTATGCCTTGCGGAATTTATTGTATATGGCATACAGACCGCGCTTGAATAGTAAATGTGATGGATTGAAAACCTCTTCCTACTCGACATTATTTTAGCTGTCCAAAGTTTTGAAGTCTGACATGAAACTTATTCCTGCTCTTTATTATCTTAAGCTAGCTAAATGTAACTCTGCCCTTTGCCCTTGTTTCTTCTGAGACATGCAGGTAGTTCGAGCTTCTTGTTTCAACACATCTCGATAAGAACATTAAGACGAAGAATTTGATCCAACCATAAATGATCTCGACTTCGACCATGGCCGAACTCGAGTCGTGTTTTCACCTGAATACTCCTATCCTTCTTGAGTTTGTTCATTGGAGCTTATCTCGTGTTACGGATGGGCCACGAGCTGAGGTAGGTCATTGGTCCAGGCGATAATGAAACTGTGGGTCCCTGGTTGTCGGCCAATGGAAGAGTGCCATTTTCTGTTTGATGGTTGGTTAGTCCGTTTCTTCATCCATCTCTTCTTTAACCCTCTTCTTACCGTCGTCTCCACTGTCAACGTGTACAGTATCCTCTTTTTAACCTTCTTTTAAGCGAAGGGGAACGGAGCCTCCTCCCTTGGGACGACGATGAAGCGTTCTCGGGGTGGGGGCAGCGCAACGGCGGCAGATCGGGAGGTGCCGCTGAGTCAGAAGGCGGTCAAATTAGTCGGGAACGTGTGCTTCTCGCTCTTCGTGCTCTCCGTGCTCATCTTCACCATCGTCTCCATCACCTACCAACCCCCCGACCCCTGGTTCGACTCCCCCAAGGCCATCATCTCGAAGTCCCTCGCCGCCACCCTCCCCAACGCTACATTCCGCACCGACGACTCCGTCCTCCAAACCGGCGAGGACCTCGTCCCCCTTACGGCTGCCGATAACTCGACTACTGCCATAGCTGATGATGACAACGCCTCCTCCGCTGCCATAGTCCTCCCATCTCTGGCGCCGGACTGCGACCCCGACGCTCCGCTTAACTGCTCCGACCCCCGCGTCCTCGCTGCGATCCAGCGCTTCAATACCCGTATCTTTCATCGCTCTATCATATTCCTCAGCTATGAGACGCCCGTATCTGGATCCGCCCCCTGGGAGTGCGACGCTGCCTGGCGCTTCCGCAACCACCGCGAGAAGTCCTGGCGACGCTACAAGGACTACCGCCGCTTCCGCCTCGCCCCCGCTGACAACTGCACCTACGAGGTTGTCTCCGCCGGAAAATTTCGCTCCGGCGTCAACGCGGCCCCCAAGCCTCCACTGCGGCGCCAGTCTTCGTCCCGGGCCCCTCCCTCCCAAATCGCGGATGCCGAGATCAACGACACGATCCCGACGCTCGGATCTGAATCAAACTTCCGAAAAGGGAAATATCTCTACTACACGCGCGGTGGCGATTACTGCAAGGGGATGAATCAGTACCTGTGGAGCTTCCTTTGCGCCCTCGGCGAGGCCCAGTTCTTGAACCGGACGTTTGTGATGGATCTCAACGTCTGTTTGGCTGCCACTTACAATCCCAGTGGCCGGGATGAGGAGGGTAAGGATTTCCGATACTACTTCGATTTCGAGCATCTCAAGGAGTCGGCATCGGTGGTGGAGGAGAGTGAATTCTTGAGGGATTGGCAACAATGGGATCGTGCCACAAGCCGAAAGGCTGGCGGCAAGATCAGCGTCCTCAAGGTGCCGACGTACAAGGTCACGCCAATGCAGCTCAAGAAGGACCCAAGCACCATCATCTGGAGGCAGTTTGACGGGCCAGAGCCCGAGAATTACTGGTACCGTGTGTGTGAGGGTCGGTCTGCTAAGTACATTCAGCGGCCATGGGAAGCAATTTGGAAATCCAAGCGGCTGATGAACATTGTGTCGGAGATCGCAGGACAGATGGACTGGGAGTATGATGGCATCCATGTGGTCCGTGGCGAGAAGGCCAGGAACAAGGAACTGTGGCCTAATTTGGATGCAGATACTTCTCCTGAGGCCCTGGTGCAGAAGCTAACAAAGGTGATACATCAATGGAGGAATCTCTATATTGCCACGAATGAGCCATTCTATAACTACTTTGATAAACTGAGATCACACTATAAGGTGCATTTGCTTGACGATTACAAGGAGATGTGGGGAAACACTAGTGAGTGGTATAATGAGACGATGGCTCTAAACAATGGCCACCCTGTGGAGTTTGATGGGTACATGAGGGTTGCAGTGGATACAGAGGTGCTCTATAGGGCAAAGAATCGGGTGGAAACATTCAATAATCTAACAAGGGACTGTAAGGATGGTATTAACACATGCTAGTAATGATATGGTAAAAAGTTTGGAGGCCGAGAAGGATGTGGATATTCTCCATTTTTGTGTGAGTTCATAGTCAGGTAAGTGTTGAGGTTCCTGCATTGTCCATTTTAATTTGGAGTTGAGATATTCAGCAGTTTCAATTTCTATCTTGTTCTATCTTTTTTTCCCTTTAGCTTCCTTGTCATAGCATATCTCATTTTTTGGTAATACATATATCAGTAAGTGTCCTGTTACTGTCATATGACATTTTGAAATATTCACATATTTTTTTCTCATTCTATTTTGTTTGAGCTACTAAGAAGCCCTGAATGGAAACTTTTGTTGTTCTTTCTTAGTGGAGGGTCCAATTTGGATAATGCAAAAGCTATTATGACATTGAATTTCTAAGTGGATCATTAAATTATAGCCTAAAAGTAATTTTGTTTCTAGTGCAGTTGAAGTTTGCATTAACTGAAACCTGATTTTGGCTCAGTTAAGAGCAGCCTACTTTTGCTTTTTTTCACCTTAATATGACCAAGGTTTCAAATCTCAACTATACTAGTTGGCATGGACTGGTGTTCAATGGTTTGGTCAAGTACCAATATTGAAACAAATAGCTTGATACTGAATACTGATATGTGCCATTTATTTTTATGATTTTATTATTTTATTGAACGAACACCAGACTGTATAATTTGGTATATCATTTTGTATACTGGTTTCATATCGGTCCATCAAGCTATCAAGATCAATATCAGACCGAAATTTAAATCCTTGGATAAGACATTAAAGTTAATTGACCAAGGTAGGTTCTAGATAGTCATAGTTGATGTAAAGTGTATTTTGGATATTAGTTTGGACATGGTCACATGGCATAGCATGCTGATCTGACTAATGATATATATAAATTACTAGAAAACAAACCAACCTACATTTCTCCTTTAGAACCTTTACTCAAGCATAATAAGTTTTTAACATTTTAAACATGGATCATAGTACTGTATGTTGGGCTCTTTCTGACTATCAATTGGTGTGGCATATATTGAGGTATCTTCTGTGATTTTTAAATGCAATGTGTCAATTCAAGGTGTAACCTCTATTTTTACAAATGGATATAGTGTATCGAGCACCGACCAGTTTGAGATTTACAACAAAAGATTTTGCAGTCAGGGTCATGATTCTTTCATGTCAAAGATGAAATCACCCTATGATCAGAGCAAAATTTTTGTAACCACTGGTTACCTAAGGGTACATTTATCTCCTAGTAAGTTGGAAAATATTTATGCACTACTCTTCTTGGATAGCGTGGGTGAGCCCTAATATTATGGTGAGGTTGCTCCTGTATGACTTGGTGACCATGATCAAAGGTACAGAAGTGATCTCTACTTGTAAGGCTACTAACCCTTCTCAGATCTCTCATTGGTAAGGCCATCATGCACTGATCCACCCTTCACAATCCTTCTTGAATGGTTGTTTGCATGCGTATGGTATGAAGTAAATATGTCAAGCCTTATATGAGATCATGAGACGGATAGAGAGAATGAAGAGGTAAATACTGGCAATGTAAAGGCAAAGCCTTGAATGCTACATGAGACAAAAATTAGAGTTAAATTTCAAATAATTATGAACTTGGCTCATGATACCAGGAGCTGCCAGCTTCTCTCCTGACCAAATCACACTAACTAAAAGAGGGATATACAGAAGTCAAAGTTATAAAATCCTGATTCACTTTAGTGGAACAAGAACCCAAGGCATATGATGAAAAGGCATCTCGAGGAAATGTTATCTCGCGATCAAGTATTGGATCATGTGTTCAACTTCAGTGAAATATGAATGCATTACAGGAACAGACAAGTAATCAGCTTAACTGAAATTAGCCTTTTCCAGCATATAGACAATGAAGCTTATTTCATGAGATTATGGCATTTATATCATTCTTCATTTGTTTGTACAATGATTATCAAATGTGTTTATCAAACATATAAGTTCTTGTTATCAACTTAACATATGAAGTTGCTTGATATGTGGATTATGAAGTAAATCTTAAAGGGAAGCATGAAAGAAGTCTGAATTTGCTTGCTTACTTTTTAATTACCAAGTAACGAGCTACAAAGTTTTGTTGGAGTGTTTCCTGTGTTACAAAGTCTGAACTGATATTCTTCATACTTATTAGCATAATGCTAGTTTACATGTTGGAGTTTTTTCATAAATAAAGGATCATCGTCATGGATGGTTTACAGATTTCTCCAAATAGCTCCTTAAATACCAGATCGGTAACAGGTATCGATGTTGATCTAGAAGAAACTTTGTCATTTCTGCCACAGCTCCTAGTTACTTGATGGGCTTGATTTGCACTTTTATTTGTCTCCAATGTGTCTGGATCTGCTAATTTTAAACAGTGGGTCTTTGTTCATTTGATATGTGGTGCTTGATCACAAAGCTTAATAGAGCCAAATCAATCAGTGTGATATTTGTTGTCTCTAGTGTACATGATTAATGCACTAATGTTGGTTCCTTTTGCCAGAAATACATAAACCATCAGTTTGAGAAATTAAATGGATGTGTTGAATCTTATATCCATTGTGTCAGTCATATGAGATAAGCATGCTTGAGTTCACAAGTTTTTTTTTGGAGGATTTGATTGTTTAGGATCTCTCTCTTAAAGGTTTTATTTTGATGGAGCTATTTTGTATTGCAGACTAGATAATTGTACATGCTGGTAAGCAAGGAATTTGTTTGTGGCATAGTGATTTGGTTTTCAGTAAGTTTAAAAGTATGCTTTTAACTTTTAAACAGCAAATTCAGCTTAGAAGATATAAGTTTGTTCTTGGATACAATGCTTAAATTTTTTAATGGATATACAGAAGTTCCAATTTGTTCTGTCAACACCTTTCTAGTGGCAAACCCCCGTTGTTTCTGTTGAGCACGAATTATTATTGTGCCAGTTGGTGCACTGTTTGTCATACATAAATAATACATGCTACTGTCAGTTTTTTTGTGAGGAAGATTTATAGTGCTTATAATGCATGGTTGTACCTGTGCATTTCCACCAAGTAGGTCTTATGTAATGTATCATTTCTAAAGTAAATTTCTAGTGGTAGCTACATTTTGCCCATGTGGATGGATGATATGTCTGTGCAAAATTGTGATGGGAGATCAGGGTTTCAAGTGTAAGTTAACCTTTGGCTTTCTTTTCTCCTCCTTGTCTCTTCTAAAGAGACAGTTTATCCAAGTAAAATTTCTAAAATTCATATGACATTTTTCTTTCTCATAGAAGACAAGTATAAGAAAGAAACTTTTAAAGCCTCATAGAAGATAATCAGTTTAGATCAATTTCTAAGAGCATTAAGATTTTTAGAATTGGGAGTGTGGTAATTAATATATTGAGAAAAAGGGTATAAAACCCTCTCTTGTTAAGACCAATTTTCCTTTTTCTTTATTTGCTCCAGTTGAACCGATTTAATAATCCATTCAATTAGAACGATTCAACTCATGATTTCAGACAAAGTTTAAAATAATATAATATAATATTAATTAACAATTAATAATATATTTAAATAATAATAAATAAAATGATAAAGAATAATGGGCAAATTCTTTTTTTAAAAATCCTCCATTTCAGTTTTTCCTGGGAAATAACATCTCTATTTTGCATAACTAAATATCCATGATTTGATATCTATAATGTTTTTTATACTATATTATAATATTTTCAATAATACTTGGAAAATAATACAGCATAACACAAAAATTCTGTATCTCATAGTTTTTTTTTTACAAATTTTATAAAAATATTATATTTATATTGTTTTATACTATATTTATAGTCTAAAAAATATTATAACATAATATAAAAATATTATAATATTTTTATACCAAGTTAGAGTATTTTTTTAGCATTGTTGAAAACACTATAGACCGACTAGACTTTTCAAGAAGGAAGAGGGGTAGTAGATGGTAAGGATATTTCATGTATTAGGTCAAAAAAATGGGGATGCTTCACAGAAAAAGCCAAAAAAAGGTTTTTTAAGAAATTCGCCCTAAAATAATCTTAAATTTTCAATATAAATGAGGCTGGAGCGGAAGCAACAGGAGATGAACTCATAATGGGAGCAAAGTTAAAGGCGGGACAGGTGAGAGAGTGGGGTCAATGGGTGGGTGAAAGTGATAGGTGGGGAAGGAAAGAGAAGGGGACAATTATTAGAATTATAAAAAAAATAAAGGATAAATATTTGGAAAAAACGAAAATAGGGGGTGCTTTTGAAAAAGAAATAAAAATGAGATTGATTTTTTTATTTAGAGAAATCATCCAAAAAAATTATGAAACTTTATCTCCCTTTCCTTTTCTTTTGAATCTTGGCTTCAATCTCGTTACAATCTCATCCATCCATCCATCCTTCCTTCAATCAATTACCACAATGATGTGATCAACAATACTCTCCACTCGCTGTGGGAGAAGAGTTGTGGGATGAAGTCCGTGTGATGCAGTGTGATGGGCGTGGCGACCGAGTCTCTGGAGACCAAGTCTCCTTCCAACTCCACCGACAGCAGTCCTCCACCGACAGCTCTCGCCCTATTCCCCTTCGCATAAGTTTTGGGACACGCATCACTGGCATCTCCACGTTCTGCAGAGGCCGCCCAAGTTGAGACTAAAGAATTAATAATTCTTGGGGAGCAAAGGTGCTGCGTCCTTGTCCCTCTTCCAGCTTCTTTATCTTCGTCTTAGGGAAAACAATAATTAACATGATGGAACACCAAACCTTCTCTCCTTTTCCGTCTCGTGCACCGTCAGCTTGTCCTCCTTCCACCTCTTCCTTTTACCCCCCCTCGACCTACCGTAACTTAAGGTGTCAGTGTCCTCATGGAAATGAGTTGGAGCTGACATGACAAGCTCGCGACAATCGAACACAGCTTAAAGAATAAGAATGGTCGGAGATTTGCAATAGTATAGTATCTGATGATGGTCTAGTTCCTATTTAGCTTCATTTACTGTGCCAATATGATTGAATCAACCATAGCTGCAGCATTAGATGTGGAATCCTGTTCTACTTACTGTCAACCCTCATGTGTGGTGTTACCAAAGAGAGACAAGCATATCTAACTAGCTAATCCATTTATCTTTATTCCTCACTTTGTGTTGAAGTAATGATCCAGTGCGTTAGCCACAGTCACATCCACCGGTAGTGCCCGGCGAATACTCTCTCTCTCTCTGTCTCTCTCTCATTTCCCCACCCGACGCACATGTTGTGGAAGAATAAGGTGAGCTCTCAAAGTTGAAGAAAGAGACACTCCAACCAGCAC